GCAAAGATTCTTTATCATATTAATGCCATTACATTGAAATTATGCATTATTTATAAATAAGTACATTTCATAGAAGTGAAAATCTTGCAGTATTTAACTTGAAAGATATGTTTATTCTGTTTTATTGTTCAACCTTTTTTTTTTTTCCTCCATTTAGTGCAAACTAAAATACTCATGTCTTTGCAACTTAATTTTTTTTGGTGTCTTTTTTTCCCCCTACAACTGCTTTCCAAATCAGAAGATGTCAGTGGAATCCCAAGGGCATCTGGGAGGTTTCACTAATAATCTCATTTGTGACAGTTTGTTGCAGAGGCAGTTCCACTCTATTAGTAATTCAACAAAACCCAGGAGCCAATATTCCCTGCATCTTGAGAAAACTACCCGTGTGAGGAAACACCTCTGAGCTCAGGCCCAGTAATGCTGAACATTTGAAATTTTTCAGTCAGCAGCCCTCTATTGTTGGCTGCTGATCTCTGACAACGTATAAAGGTAGCCTAGAGTAACTTCTCTTGAAACAGGGGAACAGAACAAATTTATAGAAAAGGTGAATAATCAATTGTCCAAAAATGTTCTGTAACAGTCCTTCACTATCTCTGACCAGTTGATTTCATAAAACCAATTTAAAATAGTCATTAATATGGGAACTATTATAACAGGCAAATGTGTTTTGACCACTACAATGATGCAAATAATCATTCAAGCAATGCTCAAATTTAATCACTGACCTTGTCAATGAAACTAAACACTTTCTCAAAAACACAAAAGTTTAAGTAGCAATTGTTCCTCCTAAATAGTGGAAAATACGGAGCACACTGGGAAGGTGGTTCTGCAGAATACAGAAATGCTACAGCAGGACTTTTTGTTGATTTGGAACAGAAATTGAGGAGTCCAACTATTCTAAAAAACATCATCTTAGCACTTTCCACCAGCAGTGACAAGCTAATCCAGTAAAACAAAATTAAGTTGATTCACCACTCAGAAGGCTCTCATACAGCCAGTTCACTCAATAAAGGAGAAATCTCAAGCAAAACTAAATACCCAGAGACATGCTCTTTGTACATATGCAAGCACACAAGTTGTTTCTAAAGATGATCAGCAATCTCAAACACTGTTTTCTACTTGCTGTACTCCTCTACAACTCTGAACTGAGATGCATAAACCAAAATATGCTAGACTACAATTAATCTTCTGTTACTTTCACTTTCCCACATGGGACACCAAAAGAACTTGTAGTAAATTTGAAATGCTGGAATACCTACTTCTTTGTAATATACTACCAGGCAATTAATTTCTTCACCAGTGTGTGTAAGCCTATCTACTCCAAGGCTGTATTTTACCCTCAGCAGAAAAGCAGCTAAGCCTCAATTGCATACACTTATTATAGCAATTTTCATTGTTACTTGTATTTGTTTGATACAGGAAAAAAGTTTTAAAACTGAAATGACTTTTCTTCATATACTTTTATACCGTGCAGGTACTAAAAACTACCTTATTTATAAGTTAACTTATATGGCGATACTGTAATACTCCAGATGTATGAAATTCTAATTCCCATTCTCAGTTTCATACCCTGAGAATATTCTAGCACAGCATCCATAGATTCAGAGTTCTTAAACCATGAATTCTACTCACTGACCAGTCAGGAAAACTAGTACACTCTCCAAATCACATCAGTTCCTAAGCTACGCAAAAAAGGTCTTCCCCTGCCCGCCCAATCTACACTGGAGACTCAAAGGACATTTACTTTGAAGTCTGCTTGCTATTCCTATTCTCAAAAATTAAGATTGGTATTAAGATGGTATAAATACACCTCTACAGAAACTTATTTGTAGAAAGGTAGATGTTGAAACACAAGGCCAACCAAATAAGCCTTAACATACTTAAACAGGTAAATGTAACCAAATTTGCAATTAAGAGAAGGCTAACTCTCTTAACCAAGAACTTAAATTCATTTCCTTATGCATATTCATGATATAAGCTTTAAATTAACAATACATTACATATCTTTCAAAAAATCATATAACTCATGCAAATTTTTAATATACACCTGCTTAGTTATTTCCTCACTATTTAACTTAGTTCAGTTGGTTTTAATAGTGTAATACATCTATAAAACTGATTCGGATATGTACTCCTTCTCCGAGGCTACACAAATAACTTTTGTCAAATACAACTGCTTAAGACTGATACTACGAAATAAGTGGAAACAGAACTTGGCACTTCCTACTTCTTCCAGGCCAGCACAACATGAAGAGGGAAGAGCAGAGAACTTAGAAAAAGCTTTTGTAGCACATTAAACTTAAAGAAATTACATGAATATGTGCTAATCGGGCACTTAATTCTGTCCTAAATTTCATAAAGTTGAGAAATTAAACAAGCCACAAATATTCATTTGCTTTGTTTATAAAAAATTAAAATAATAGAAGCCTGTCAAGGAATTATTTTACTGAAAGCTTATTTTTGTTCTCCTTACTTAACTGTAAGTATCATGGGCATCTACCACATGGACATCCCGAACATCTTTAATGCATCAGTCTTATCTGTGCTACATCTACATCTAATGCATTTCTACAAGTATTACATTTCTGCACCTATAGAAGCTGCATAGTCTTGAAAATGGAATTTTGAATACAGAGGAATGACAAATAAGAAAATTTTAAAAAGATAAAAAGTAACACATTTTCATTAATAATAAAAGCAATTAAACATATTTCTGCTACATGCCTTCAAGATTTGCTCCATTAACAATCCTAAGACTGTTGGTTTTAGAAATAATCTCACCTGCAAAAAAACTCCCACAAGTCTAGATTTTGTATTCTCTTAATTCTTTTAATTCGGTGGCTATCCATTGTTTTTCCAAAGAGACTAGAAACTTCATTATATTCGTTTGTTTTCTTTTGCAATGGAATAAGCTGGAAAAAAAGAGGTTAGTACGCTTTCACTTCAATGCATTATTTCTTTATCACATGTTTTTGACCAACTTGCATACCAACTCTTACCTGATATGGCTCCTCAGTATTTACATTCTCCCAATGTGAAGGCATAGGGATAGCCTCATTTTCACAGATGAAACTTGAAACAAAAAAAGATAGAAACACATCACATCAAGGACAGGAGGCACTTTCCTCCTGTCAAACTCCTGCTCCAAACAATACAGTATGCAAAAAAAAAAAAAACGACAACACCACCCCCCCCCCAAAAAAAAAAAAACCAAACCACCAAAACTTATACAAAACTACTTAGAGTTTTAATTCAAACAGAGGCTGTTGTCAGCAGGCAAGGTCAAAGGCAAGAGACCTTGTTTTGTACTCAAATTCTGGCTTAACTTACTATAAATAAACCGTGGTAATGAACAGTTTTAATATACCATCTACCCAACAAAAGATAGGAAGATAAATCAGAAGAGATGGTCAGAAAGGTCCGCAACATCAGGAGAGCAACATTAATTTAGAGATGTGAGAGTGTAGATATAGCCTGAACATTCCAAACTATGAGAAATTACAACCAGCTTAAGCCTCTGGAAACTGAGCCCTCATTTGAAGTATTTAAAAGCATCATGTTAGAAATACACACTTGAAAATTACAGTTGAATTTGTTTTTCAAGAAACAAACCCTAACCCTCAAAGAGTGTTTTAAGCATATACACCACATATGTAGCAGCTTTTGAGCTTTAAAACTGTGACTAAAAGAAGCAACCTCCTGAAAGTAAAGAATGGCGTCATCACGTGGAAAGAGAGTACTGAATGCAATTATTCAAGAAACAAAAAAACAGAAGTGAATTGCCACATTATTGCATGCACTCTTCAGCAAATATCCATTGAAAAAACAGTTGACACTTCAAAAAAACAGGACTTCTTGAATGTCAAGTGTAAAAAGATTGCTATTACATTTCTTATTACAAATGCAAAATTTCTTTTTGAAAGTATAACCAGACTACAATTCAGAACTAAAACTATTTCTAGGAAACTATTTTGGGAAAAAAACCCACATATTCCATATAGTCAATTTTACCTGTGGTAGTATCACTGCATAGATCAGTTTATTGTTTAGTGAGTATGAGATTTACCTCAGCACAGCTTTACATCTAATGACTGATCAAATGGTCAAGAAACTTATAATTTAAAGCCATTAGGCGCATAAAACAATCTGGTTGTTATGATGCAATTTCTTGTAATTTCAAATCACAGAGGCAAGAAAATATAACTCAATCTTCTTTGCTGTTACAATAATACTTCCAAATAGTTTATGAAGTCATTATTACAATGGAACTAACTACTCCATTTTTTGCTGCTGTGTCGCCACAGCAATTCTGATTCAACAGGTATTTCCAGCAAGGGACTCCAATGGCTAAAGTCAGACACAGCTTTAAGACCCTTGCCAAAGGATATCAGTATGCCTTTCCTCTCCCACTACAAGTTACTTACTTTCTCAGAAAAAAAAGATAAAAAACAAACTAAAAACTCTTTTGTCACTCATCTCCTCTGAAATGTCTTCTTTCTTCACTTGACTAGCTCTCCCGCCTTGATTCACCTCTCAAATTGTTTGATGCAAAAAGTAAATAAATATAAACAATAAATATAAAACTTTTTATGTTTCATTTTACTTACAAGAATCAGGAATAAAATAAAAATAAGGAGTCTTCCTTTTATTTCCTTACCTGAAAGCACTGATAGAAAAGGGAGCTCGCTTTATTGGACGTTGCTTAAGGGTAGTTAGGTTGGTTTGTTTCATCACTGAGCATAAAACAAGAGTTAGGATGAAAGTTTCTCGAATTCATCTATAGCATATGAAACATTTAAGTGTCATTTTTTTTAAATAACATTACTACACCCAAAGTTGCTCGACAGGAACTCCTATTTCAACAATTAACAAATCAGCATTTTCAATAAATGTTTCTAAATGCTGGCCTCGGAATCACTGTCATTTTTATGAGTTGGCAAAATGTGCAAATATTACACAAGCAAAACGTTTGTTGTTAAAATGCCCATCTAACATTCAGCCCCATTGGCAAAACTTCCACTGACTTTAATACAACTAGGATGACAAAGCATATTACTACTATCCTTAATGCAAGACATCATGACCTACAAACAGTAACATAAAAATCATTCTTTAGTATTTGCATTTAGTGTTTTTATTCTGGATGCAAAACAAAGGTTTTTTTAAACAGACATTTCAACACGAGTAAACATAAAACTCCTTGTATTGTTACATACTACTTCACCCCCAGTACATCACTGTTTTACCCAGTCCCTGCTTTCTGTATAAGAAATACTATTATTTTCTTTGATTTGGAAGAGGCTTCTATTTAAGCACATATCTGTTTCGTAATTCAATCAGAAAATAAACAATCCATGGATGGAAAAGCTAAAAAAAAAAAGTCATTAGAACACACCTTTGAACAAAGGACAGATTAATATATGATTAGCTACATACATTAGAATCCTGTAATCTGTACTCTACAAGCATGGCATAGATGAGATCTTTACTAGAAAATCCTTTTGCCTATCTCCTTGTTATTCTGACAACAGAACTGGCTTCAACTGCCTGCTGAATTATTAAATCACTTTGCTGCCAGTACTTCGCAGAAAGATTCCTTCATATCAATGTTTCTTATACAGACTCTGAATGGAAGAGTTTTTTCAAGCTTACAAGCAGTTGCACGTTAAAGGAAAAAGGTTCAAACTTCCCAGTCCCATAGATGTATGGTACATATCACCTACAGCTGAGGTAAGCAGCAGTAGCATGATGGAGTGCTACTAAACAAGACATGCTACTCTATTAATAAACTACACTAGAAATTGTAACAGGGCAGCTGCTTGTAAAAATTCCTATGTACTTTCCAGTAAAGATGACATTTCCAATCACAAGTTTTTGCACTAGATACAAGGACAATAATTTGCTGAATGAACAAATGCACTGATGTATGTGGCACCTTCTAGTATTTAAATTTACTCTATGAAAAGATACATACCTGAAAAGTCTAGCGTGTAGTTAAATTTTGCAGTAGTGAAAGAAACAGAACCATGTGGGTTTGTTCGGAAGCTTCTTTCAATATCTTCACTGCTAACAGAGCAATGACTGTTTGAATCAGTCTTCAAAATAGAAGAAAAAGCACATTTAGACAAATTCAGCAATAGGTAGTTTGATGTATGGAATCCATGACAGCTAATATAACTTCATAGGTATTTACCTGAAACATATGCCATTTACCACACTCAGCCAAATAAAACCAGCCCCACTGGGTATCAGAGGTATCCATCTCTTCAACTGAACTTTCCATCTTTGGAAAAAAATCTTCTGATGTTCTTTGAAGCATTTCCTGAAACATTCACACACATACACAAAAAAGTTTTGATACTATTTGCAAAAATGCATTATTTGAGAAATTCATAAAAAAGCAAAATAAAGTCAATTTGCAATACTTAAAAAAAAAAACAACCCTGACAGGTGGAGGGCAGATTTGTTTTCTCTTTTTCAGAGAAAAATTCTCAATTTGCTACTTATCCAGTATTATCCTTTAAGTTAGTTAAACATTTTCAAAACTCCATCAAAAGTCTGTAAGTGTGCCAGTAAAGGCAAGAGCTACAGGCTTTATCAGATCAGAGAGAGGTGCTAAATTTCATACTGATGGTCATATGAGCAAGGCCATTCATATATACCACAGGCTCTGAGTTACATACCACTCAGGAATGAGGTGTCGGGGTTACATCTGATAGCTTGATGAAAACATCTACTAGGTACTCACCAACAGTGAACAAATCAGACTGGATATCAGAAGTTATTAGAAAAAAAATTAAAAAACAAAGACAAAGAGTATAATTATTTAACTGTGCAAGTCCACAGTGCATTATTCCTCAACACGGCATGAAGGTTAGTTTCCCCCTTAATGCACCCACTTAAAAATGGATACAGTAAAATTACTGGTACTCTGTACTTGTAATTACAAAGAAGGTTCACAGCAAAAGCCAAAGTGGCTTCCACACAAGCAATGACTACCATAGTTGGGGTTCTGCAGGACAGAAGAAAAAGGACCAAGGAAAAGGATACAGCAGAGATCTACAAAATCATGACAAAACCGAATAAGGAATAACAAGTCACATTTTCTTCCAACATAAGGAGACACATATCAAAGGTTTCACTTGTTTTGAATCTGGCATGTGCAAGAGAAATTTCTTCATAAAACAGATGGCAATCTATGGAATTCCTTTTCATGATATACTGTGGGTGCTGCAAATTTATGGAAGTTCAAAAAGCAGCTAGACAAGTTCAAGCCTACCAAGAGCTATGCCAGAATACATTTAGAAGAACAGTCCCTGACAGATTTCAGATCGTTCTTCATTCATCAACAAAGTCCTGAAAACTCCGAAAGTATTTGACTCTACTTGCATATATCTCCTAACATGTCAACTCTGTCTGCCACACTCCCTCCAAGCAAAAATTCTAAGTAGGTTGTGGGGAATCTTTCAGAGAAAGAAGCTTGCCCTACTCCCAGAAAAGGTCAGCAATTCATCCACTCTAACTGCCTAACCAAGACTCTTCCCAACAATTTCCTCAACTTAACTTTTGCTTCGACATAATGGAACAACGCCCTCCAGCACAAGTCAGTCAAATAATGTCCAGTTAATAGTATGGATGCTTCAGGTGTTTCTGGACATTTCAATTCAGAAAAAAGCAGAGACCTGAAGAAGACAAATATGGGAGACTAGAAGTAGGCACCAACTAGCCAGTGCTGCTGGGGTAGGAGTTGAGAGCAGAAGGCACTTCTTCTAGCACTACCCTTCCCCCTTATTTTTCCCAACCTAGCCCTCTGTGATTGTTTGACAAACAATCCCAGAAACCTCTTTGAGGTAATAGCTACAGACTGTATTCTAATCATTAAAAGCTCTAAAGAGCTACAAAAATCTAGATACTTAGAAAACAGAGGAATCAGAAGTGGACCTCCACAACATCTCTAAACTGCAGAATCTGAGGGCAAACCTACTTTAGTACAAAGGGAAGCCTACACAAGGCAACATACATAGATAGCTGCCTCAAGTTCAAGCAGAACTACACTAAAGGTACATCAGCTGCATGTAAAAATATTTTGAAAGAGGTAAGAAAACTGTTCCCTATTTCAGAGGGCATCTACCAACATTTATTCTATTCCTCACAGCAATACAAAGCCACAGAGCCTACATTTGATTGGTGTTAAAGCACAACTGGCCAACATCTTTTGATGATAATCTTTCACCTTCAACTTAATTCTTCCTCTCAGATAAGTATTTGGCTATGTTCTCTCCTACAGAGGTAGTCTACACTTTTTTAAAGCTCCGAGGAAAGTAAATTCAGGTTTTTTTGGTAATGTTTAGTTTCCTCATGTTCTCACTAAAATGGCCAGACCTCAGCTCCATCCCAATGTTAGTTCGGGGCCTTGAATCTGATCAATGAAATCAGTAATGCCTTTTGAACAAGTTACAAACAGAGAAGGCATGTTCGTCTGTGCCCCATCAACATACTTGTGCTCCTCTGGGGGCAACACATCCTCCAGAATAAACCATTTACTAAGGAGACAGTTATTCCCGTAGCTTTTAAAAATGTTACATTTAATCCACATGTATTACCCTAGTCACAAAGTCTAGGGCAAGCAGGTAGACTCCAGGATACTCAGAAGTATGGAAGAACGACCCAAAGGCATGAACATGTAAAGCCATAAAAACAAGAGAGCTGTTTTCAAAGGTGATACAGATCCAAAATGCTCAAAGGAAATTGCTCTGCTTACTGATGAATTTAAAATCATACCTACACCATTTATAAGGAGCAGGTAGCTTTTTGTCCAAAAACTCTGAACGCGTGCACAGTGAGCAGAAAACTCTCAGTGGGTTTTTCTGGATGACAGGATGTCAACTATCAAAGATGCAGCAATGAGAATTTTATTAGCAATGCTGTTGCTAACACAAGGCCTCTCAACTCCCATTATTAGCAGTTTCTTCTGGTCCAGGAGTTACCAGAACAGCTCAAATTAAACACAATTACTCTGACAGCAAAAACATCCTCCTAAACAGAATGAATGCTCGCTGTGTATTGTGCTGTGACTGAATGGCTTTACTACTACTGGTAATGCATTGCTTCATTTTTCCAGAAGTACTTCTAAGTTTGAATGATAAACATGCTTTACAGTGCATAGAGTCACAGAATGGTTTGGTCTGGAAGGGAACTTTGAAGATCACCTAGTCCAACCCCGCTGCCATGGGTGGGGACATTTTTCACTACATCAGGTTGCCCAAAGCCCCATCCAACCTGACTTTGATCACTTCCAATGACGGGACATCCACAGCTTGTCCGGGCAACCTGTTCCAGTGTCTCACCACCCTCAGGGTAAAAAATACAGAAGCATCCCAACGGGCTGTTCTGTCTGCTTCCTTGTGCTCTCTGCTTCCACCTGGCAGATCATGCTTTATTGCCAGAGACTTCTTTGCCTACAAACATCAACTTTGCACAGTTCCCTGCTGGGAACATAAGCCGTGCTAAGGGACCCTCTGGCGCTTCCTTAGAGAACACGGCACCTGAGCGGGAGACTTGGCTGAGGTAAGAGCGCAGGGCTAAGGAGGGGAAGCGAGAAGGAAGAGCACTACCACTCGTACGGGACACAAGGTGAAATGACAACACCCTCCGCAGCTGTGTCACCACTTACCCCCTTTGCGCTGCAGGGGACCACCGTTGCAGTCACCCCCTTTACCGACCCCCTCCAGAGCTGATCCCATTAGAGCTCAAGGACACGGCGGGGTGGTCGATCTAAGCACAGCACCAGCACCCCTCCGGCTGGGTCGCAGCCTTCCCCAAAGATGGTGGCCTACGCCCCCCACCCCCTTCCCCCACCTGGCAGCGCGCTCGCCGGCGGGGGCGGGAGGGGAAGCGGCCTGCGGGGCGCGCGTAGTATGGAGACGGGCTGAGGCGGAAAAAGAGGAAAGGAGCGGCCGTTTCCCCCGTCCCCCTCCCGCCCG